AGATGGAGCTACCGATCAACCGAACTAATTTTTTTCGGATAAGTAGTATTTAATTCCGAAAACCGAATCAGATGTATTAAAAACCGTCCGTTTGCAGTTGGTAGGGTCAATTTCGGATCGGAGAAGCGGGTTTTTTTACCACCCCTACTGCACAGATCTTACGCCCTTTCTTATCAGATTGACACCTATTCCCCATCTAGTATTATGGCATACTCCCCCTCCTTGACTTCTATACCGAGGTCATTTTCTTTAGATGTTTCCAAATTTTGATAACTATAACAAACTTTGGGGAGGACAAAAAATGAAAATATTTAAAAACATTTAAGTATGAGATGGTGAAATTTATGGCATTTCAGAGAGTGAAAGGTACAAGTAAATAAAATTATTATTATTATTTTTTTGGGGGGGGTCGGTATAATTTACTGGAAATTAAATCTTAATGAAATTAGGGGTCAAAACAAAAGGGGCCAAGGTTTAGGACCTCTTAGTATGTTTGATTTTTTCTAAGTAATCTGGCATATGCATATTAAATAGTAAAAATTATTGAAAACTATAATTTTTCGTATCTAATTTGTCAATAAGTTTAGACATGAATTTTTTAGTGAAAATTAGGGGTAAGTACCCTATATGTACTTGTTTGGAGATAAGTCCGTCAAGGAAATTTATAGGGAGTTAAGTCCATATTTAAAATTATATACACTGACCTAAGTCCACTTTTTTTTTTTATCTCAAAAATACCCCTAACGGTGTTAACTTTTGTCAATTATGAAAAGACATAAGTTAAATGTTTGAGATATATATGGTAACAAACTGATCAATTTTTTATGAAAATTGTATATATCAAAATATTATGCTTCAATTACGTTAAAATTAGTGATCTATTAATTCAATTTTGGATCAGAAGATTCCATTAAAAATTCAAATTTAAATTCAAAATTTGAATCAAGCATACCATTCGTGTGTCTGTAACAGACTTTTGTTTTTTATTGGATTTAGAATTGATTATTTTTTCATGCTAAAAAAAGGTAAAAATCTAAACGTTTATGAATTTTTCCAGGAAATTTGTTGTGTTCTTCTTTCTTCATAACATACCGATACTTTATTTTTATTTTATAGGAGTGTCGAAGGTGATAACAGCAGCGACGGGAGTTCGAATTTTTATGTGATTTCAGTTCAACCTACTAGTTCTTGATTTTCAGATGTATTTTCACTTTCATTGGCTTTTTTTATATATCGTGATTAACAGTGCTGTTTTGAAATTATCGTAAATTGGAAGTTACTTTGCCGGAATTTTAATGTTACTAATCGGAATTTGCATTTCAATGTTATTTACTGGAGTTATTTAAATTTTTTTTTTGAAACTAGGTTCTAAGTTTTATTTTTCATTATTTTTGTTTTTTCTTTGTTCTTTGCCGAAATTCAATGTAACTTATCAGTGTTCGTATTGCAACATCATTCAACGAAGTTTTTTTTTTTTTTTTTTAAAATAAGGTTTTAATTTTATTTTTTCATAGTAACATTCATAGTAATATGAATGTTACTATATTTGTGTTACTATAGTAACATTACTTTGTCGGTAACATCCATAGTACCCAAACACTTCCATAAATTAGAAATATGAATCAATTTTTAATTTATCACACAAAAACATGAACATTTTCAATGTACTCTAGAAACAATAGTTTTCGAATTTCTTGAACAACGAAGAAAATAACAAAAAATTTACACATCTAATTATATAACACATTGATTAAGTAATAATAACATGAACAGTTTCATTCCCAAGATTATATTGTGCATAGTAACATCGAATTTCAAAAAATAGATAGTAAAAAACCAAACAATTTAAAAATTGATGTTAATGTCATGAACTAATGGTAATATATTGTTAATGGTTGATTTAGGACAGTCAACACATATCTCATCTTCACTAATAAATTTTAAAAATTTCTCTCACAGTAACATGAACAATTCTAAAGAAACCACGTCAATCAATTTTGAATGTAATACACAACGAAAAAAAAAAATCATAATACCCAATTTTTTAATATAGTAACAAGAAATGACAATTTTATTTAAAAAAAAAAATCAAAAGTATGAACGGTATATTTTGTAAATCTTGTTTTAAAACTCTAAAACAAAAATCAAATATCATGTAAATTAACATACCTATCTATTATTTAAAGAATCCCAAAGCTTTTTGTGGAGAAGTCTTTAGTGCCGAAACCAAATGTAATGTCACCAATGAAACTTGAGGAGTGATGCTGATTTTTGATTTTATGATTTTGAACCAGTACAAATTTTGAAAATTGATAACATGAAAAGATGAATCAGACGCACTAGAAGAGCCCGAAAAATAGTTATTGCAGTCTGAACAAATTGAATGAAAAGAAGCAGGTTGAAGAAGCAAAGGCAAGGATTGAGAGGGAGCCAATTTGGGCAATGGTGGTTTGACCCCAAATCAGTTTGGGTAATGACAGTTTCTGTTTTTTAGAGAAGGAAGATGAGATAGATTTTGGTGGATTTTAACTGGATTTGTAGCCTATAATGGAGGGGAAGTTTTCGGGTTCCTATTTGACAACAAAGAGTTTCTCTGTCTAGTGTAGAAACGGCAAATTACACACCGCTTATAATTTTTCAAAAAATAAGGGTACAATAGTAAAATTATCAAAAAGTGGACTTGAACCCAAACAAGTTTCTTTGCAGGACTTATCTCCAAACAAGTTCATTTACGGGGACTAGCTTCCAAATTTCCCAACTTTTTAAATCATTCGTACTGTCGCCGAATCTCCTTATTAAATAAGAGTTAGCAATGGATTGGGCCGACCCAGACAAAAGATTTTTTGGCCCAACCACGTCGAGTGATGACTTCTCAATTGCCTGGGCTTGTTGAAGAGCCCGGCAAAAAAGAGAGGTCCCATGGATTTGTTCCACCGTCTGTATAAAAATATATATCACATTTATAAATGTGACATCCATATAATAAATTGAGGTCGGTTAAAGTTAGAAATTTTTTTTCGTAAATCCTAAAATTTCAAAGTGGGACCTTACCCTGCCAAATTAATGGACCATCCACAGCCGTTTGTCCCAACCCCTGTCGGGCCCCTGATGTGCTGGGCTGCCAATTAGCCTCCACCGCTGTTGGGCCACTAGTCTCCTATGGGTCTTTGGGCCTTTTTGCTGACCCTCAACACAAGTGATGTTTTTGACTGATTACTGTTCTGTTTCAAACTTTCAAAACACAGTCGTTTCGAAAATTATGGGAAGCTAAACGCGCCTCTTTCTCTCTGCTCTTTCAGTCCCGACTAGCTAATTATATGCTCTGCTGTTCAAACTGAAGATCTGAAGACTTCTCCGACGACTCGCCGGCAATTGCTCCGGTTCCAGGTACATCCAATAATGTGCCCAATTTTGCTCTTTATGATCCCGTACTTAATACCTGTATGTGTAAAACTGTTTATATTTAACATTTTTCTCTTCGGGGTCTCTGGATTTGTTCATGAATCTACATTATTCATTAATAAAAACCTGATTTTGAATAAAAAAAAAAAAGCAGTGTTAAAAACTGCTTGTATTGAGAAAAAGTCGGTCTTTTTTGATCGGTAAAAAAATCATTCTTTCTTTGTGTTTTGATCTTGTCTTTTTATTTCTTGAATATGTATTTGATTGGTGAACTATCTTTGTTTTTTGTAATAGTACTAGTGATTTTGAAGCTGGTTTGTAACCAAAATATATAGAAGCTGATATAAGTGTTTTAGTGTTCTGGTTTGTTAATGTTTGGGCATGAGATGTGTTTGATGAAATGCCCATGAGTCCCTTTGTTAAAAATTTTGTTATTCAACATAATTTTACAGGTCAAAAATTATATTTTTAATGACCCTCTAGTGTAATAGACAACATACACCTATTTATCCTCACATTACCTTTCATGGCCCATCCCAGAAGGGTCAGCCCACACCTTCCCTAGGATGCAGTGCAACAATCCCGGTTATCCATCATCTAGAATTAAGATAAATTAATTAACATGGATAAGGATAACCACAACCATGCTCCAAGTGTTTCATAGAGAGATTGGATGGTTATGCATGGATAGGTATTTCTCTTGTATACTACCTCATCGTATGTAAAGGTGCTGCTAGAGTAAGACTGTTAAAGAAGTGAGAATTATCACTTTCCTAAGAATGATAGTTCCATTTTGCCATCATTTCTAATAATTCCATTTTTCATCATTGCCTCATATAAGATAGAAGGTAACTTTTAATTCTTTTGTATATCACAATGGAGCTTTGATATATCCATATCTTTTTTCTGGAATGTTTCTTGTAGTTTGCCAGTTTGCCTTTTGTTTGCTCATTTTGCTTTTTTCTTTTGTTATGCTCTGATGTTTAGTTTCTTGGTGTGCATGCCATTTAGATGAGGGTCCTCTATTCTTTGGTGATCTTTATCAAGGAAATGAGAAATAAGAAATGACAAGATTCCATCCATTGTGCATGCAAAACTATAGTGGACTGATTCGGATACTCTTCATTTGGCCAAAACATCATTTGTAATTAAATGAATTATTGCGAGGGCTTGCTGATTTTAAACTTTCTTGTTTTAGTTTTAATATGCTACATTTTAAGAAATTGCCTAGGAGTTTAATATTAAATTTTGCTCAGTTCCTTGCCCTATGTTTGTTTTAATGATTAAACAAATGTGAGGTTTCGGCTAGTTATTTTGAGTTCATATATTCCTTTATCGTAAAAATGAAGAGCACTTACTTATGGGGAAAAAAAATGAAGTGCACTTTATTTTATCTGTTTCCTTGGATATGAGTGAGTGGCTTAAAATTGCATGGTCTAATGGCTTATTTGTTACTTGGGTTGACTTCTTGTTCACTATGTTATGGGGTCTGATCTCATGGTTCTTATGTTTCTCTTCTTTGCTAAACTCTAAAATAATTTGATGCTTCTGTTTGTAGATGTTTTGATTCTTGCGTAAGAAAACTTTAAACTGAAGTCATGGTGGGCTGGCAGCGACATTTGCAGTCTATACTTCGTCAGACTGGGAAAAGATTAGAGTGCAGTTGCAATGGTTCATTCAGCTCTTCTCCTTATCACTCAAAGGCTTCTCTTGTAATGGGTAATTCTATTGAAGTGATTGTTGATTCTTGAATAAATACTTGAAGAATGCACTCAACAATTTTGTTTTTGAAGATGTGTAATTGTTAGTCCAATTTTCTTCATGTATAGACAATGATTTGAGAATGCCTTCACTTTCATGGCCTATTGACGTGCCTTTCTTTTCAAACATCTCAAAGTGATTGGACAGTTCGCCCTTCATATGTGATGCTTGGTTAATATTGATAATTCGTGCAGGTGATATGCCTTTTCTGCGGAATCTGCAGAATTCAACTTCTCCAAGCTTTTCAAGTCCTTTATATCAATATCTGCAGCAGCTGGTAATCTGATCTGTTTATTCATTGCCTTAAAGCCTATATGTGTGATGCATAGCACTCTGGTGAATTTGAAAAAATTACGTTGTAATTTTGTTGTTGACGTTTATTAATTGAATAGTGTTTCCCTACTTAAAAATTCGTGACAAATTATCCTAGCAATATAAAAAAAAAAAAAAAAATTTACCTATGGGTGTTTGCAAAGACCTTGGCCCTATGGTTAGAAAACATAAGACAACCTAAAACTGTTCCACCTAAAAGCCGCCACCTCCCACTGTATATCTGCTAAGTACTACATCCAAGCAAACTTTTGTTTGGTGGCTACTTGCTGGGCTGGGAGTTGCACTGCATACATGAAGTATTAACAATTTTGGGTTCTTGTTTGACTTGGTAATATGTATATACTTTACCCTTTGTGGTCCAGTTCAGGATTTAGAGTTATTGCGTCAGTTGGATTTACGATTTGTCTTGATGTTTCAACTTTCAAGTGCTGACTCTTAAGTTGAATGATTGAAAGCACAGTTCCAAACTGAGATGAAGGGCTTGTCTCCTTCAGTTTTTATTCTGTATACTTACTTTCCGTTATTTCCCCCAAGGTCTTATTTTAACTACTGTAAAGTTCTTTCTTATATTGTGGCAGGGTTTTACCAGCTCAAGTAAGGTACTGGCAGACTCATCTGAGGCATCACCAATTCCTTCTCCATTGACACCAGTTTTGGCATTAAATAGTGGAAAAACTGAAGCCCAAAAAGCAGTTTCTAAACCTTCAAATGTTCAAGCAATTCTAAAAGGCATTAAACAGGTATGAAATGCCTCTTTTATCTCGAATCTTGTCAATGACCAACAAAAATCTAAGAAGTCTGAAACTTATCGAGAATATGTAAGGAATTCAAACATCTGTTGCCACTAGATTCATTTATTTATATCTTACAGAAGTTTGCAACAACTGTCGTACATTCAGGCAAGTCCAGCTTAAGATTTCAGAGGTGGTCATTTTGGGGTTTCAGTAAATGACTCAACTTATGCTAGTCAGGCTAAATGTGCTACATTGTGTATCACAGTACCAGTTTGACTATAGATGCTTTGTGAAAAAAACATCACTTATTCAGTATCCATGGGGAAACCAAACACCCCCCAAATGATATGTGTGTGTCCTGTGTGTTGTGGATATTTATATGTGAGTTTTGAATAGAAGACTGAGTTATAAAACCACCCAGCCCTGCTGGCAGCCAGTGTGTATTGCTGTCTTGGACCTCAGTTTCTTGCTTGATAATAGTGTGCTCCTCACTTGTTTCTTGTACTATCCTTTTCTTTCCTTACTTTGTTTTCTTTCTGTTATCATCAATACAGGTGCTATTGTAGCCATTTGTGTTTATTATTGGAGAAGAAACTTCTGCTAGTCAAACAGTAGAATCTAGGGTGGCATTATTTGCACTTTGATTTGCCTTCCCAAAAATGCTCAACCATAAACCATAAATGCACTGGAGTTGAAGTACATCCATCAGAAAGTGACCATGAATTGTGTTATTCTAAACAGAGCGATAGAGTTTGCTGATTACTATGGTTGACATAACTTTCATGATGCAGAAAGTTATGTTATGTACTTTTACATTTTTTAGTTTAAAATTTTCGAGTGAAAGGTATAAATGTGAATATATATTAATCCAGGGGAATATGTAGCAAAGCTTATTAAAAACAGCCATTACCTAACGTTAGCTTCCTTGTCGCTGATGCTGGGACTGAATAGATCTTATGGCTATGGAAGTACATTTATCAACACTAAATTTAGTAACAACTGAACATTATGTGGGCAATCTTAGTTCAATTGATGGACAATAGAATTTTGAATTCTCAGCTTACAGGATTTGTGGAAAAATACTAGTTTTTGGTTGGAAGGATTAACTTATTCATTCTGCTGTGAGTAGCAAAATCGAAAGATGTGTTGGTACGTCAGAAACCTCATAGATCAGTTCTATCTATACTACTTAATTACTTATGCTCTCCTAAATTTAGAGTGCCTTTTTTGGAAACCAACTTTAAAAGGGGACAAGTAATGAATGCATGCCATTTAAAAACTTTCTAATCTACCCTTAAAAAGTCAAACAATTCACATTATTTATTTGCAGATGACCTTGGTAAAATCATTTCAAAAGATATACCTTAGGAAGTTTAGAAATGTATCCACGCTCATTGTATTGGTTAAGTTCTTTATAATATTGGTCGAGTGGAGGGTGCTTCATAATATTCCATTCCTTTAAAGCTTGTGAATACTAGAGCAAGTGAAACGGTAGCTACTAAAGTGAAAATTGCTTATTTTTTCTTCCCTGCAACTATAGCATGATGAGCCCAAAAGAGTTTTAATAATGTTGTACTTCAATTAAAGATTGTGTCAAGGGAGAATTCTGCATTACAAAACAAAAAATCTTTCTTAAAAAATGGAACTCACATTAGTGTACCTTGCTAAAGTCAGAATTTGTCTGACCTTGTAGAAGTAAGGGTCCGTTCGTTTGTTTGCGCCAGTTTACACCAGTAAGCTTGTTTGGGGGAACTTGCTTGCACTTTAGGATTGACTTCTAATTTTATGTATGATTTGATACTTGCAGATTATCGTTTGTTACCTGGAGGAATTACAAGAAAGTAAGACTACGATCCACAAATTGACACATAAGACTCACCTTTTCTTGGGAATAGAGTGGGGAAATGTAGCATGTCACAAGAGCTAGTCGAGGTTTGGAACCCTACTTCAAGAGGGACGCCTCACAAGCCGGGCTTTTAGAGATGAGGCCTTTTGGCAAAACCAAGTCAATTTTGGGCCACCAAACCCTGCAACTGATGAGAAGGCCCTATGGAGTCAAAGAAAGCATGTACGTTGTCACCGGGAGTAGTCAAGCTTGGAGACCATAGTACTAGGGCTTACTAGATGAAAGACCATGATTGGTGAAGGGCTTAAAAGAGCCTTAGGTAGCTGCTATTTATCAGATCTTTTCTAAGAGATTAGGTTAGGTGGTTAAGTCGAAGCGGAGAAGGAGACTAAGCCATCGGTTGTGTCGTGATTGATTTCCTACTTCCAGCAGAATGAGGGCCACACAACCGTCAACCCTTTTGGAAACACTTTTAGTTATATCAACAGGGGATTCCCTTAATCGCTGTTGAGCACTCAGTATTGGAAACAACAAACTTAGGCCATTATTCTATGGACTGCACTCCGGGGTTAGTAAATCTCATATGTCTGACCTAATTGTCATATAGCAGATCAATGAGCGTTAGTTGGTGGATCCCTTTAGTAGATCCTCTCATCAATTCCCAATGGTCAATGTATCATTGCCACTAACCCTGGAGCGCTGTGGAGGCCTGTTACCTCCCTTGGGAGATTCGTTCTCCATGATACCTTCCAGGTCATTTCCTGATTCCACTTCCACTTGTCGATTAGTCCATGTAAAATCTCCATTATTTATATCTAGTTAGATTACACTGAATAGTTCTTTGAATTTAGACATGAGATGGTTAGCAGATCTTTGATCGTCCTTTTAGCTTTATCTAGCTAAGGGTGAGTCTGGTTATAATCCCCAATGTATAAACATTCCATGTTCAAAAACATTCTGAACATGCGAGTCATTGGTTCGAGGAAAGAAAAGAACTGCCTTTGGAAAACAAAAAAAGAAGGAACTCATTTAACTCGCTAGGTCTTTGGAACAAAAGCGATTCTATTCATGCTTCAATATAACCTAGCCTGAGAGACAAGTTCTCTGGTGTGGACTGAAATGGTCTCGCATAAGTCCTTTTTTAACTTGAAAAGTAGCATACCACACTTCCCACAGCATGGACGATGAAGTCATTTTATAAAAGTAAATTTTTACTAAGAAAGTAGTCTACTCATGTACTTTAGCTTCGGTAATGCGATGAACTGCTATTGATTTCTTCATTCGGTTTGTGGACATAATGTATAGTAGAGTGCAAAATTCCTTTTAATGGGAGTAGCTATGTTCAAGCTAGCATTCCAACGAAACGATCCATTGACAATGGGCTTTGCCTAACACTGGACTGATTAACTTTTCCTTTGGGTAGCTTTTTCTTCAATCATTTATTCTTGAAAGAAAACAACTCAAAAGAACCTTCCCATTCAAGCACTACTTGTAGCTCCCTATCCTTACAATGACTAAACTCTATGAAAGTCATATAACTGCTCTATATCTGGAAAGCGTTCTCCTCCTATACTCTATTATATAGACAGTTGTAAGAAAAGTCAAACAACTGCAATGTTGTGGAATTGATTTTCCAAAGATAAAGGAAGTAGAATTTCAAGTATTTGGCATTCAAATATCCTTGAAAAGGGGGGGATGGACTGCGGAGTTAGCCTAGGAGTGGGTTTTAGGGCTCAACCCCCTTTTTAGGTTGTGTATTAGCAGTCAAGGGGTTGACAATAGACAGCCTAAAGGACGACAGATGGGAAAACAAAAAAAATGAGTACCTAAAAAATGAATCCCCTTTGAGGGAACTATAGTTCTCGTAGTGTTACAGTTTAAAACTCTAAATTCACAAGTCAAATTATGGTATTAGTTTGAAAGGCAACTAGTAAGCAAGTCAAGTAAGACAATTATTATTAAGTTGATCAAACTTTCACTCATACTAATCAAAGACGAGGCGTTGGTGAATACGACTGTCATCTATCCTGATGGTTCAACTAAGTTATGTTGGTGCAGAGCGTGAAGTCCAGTTAAATCCATTTTGGGGACGAGTTTCAGGCGGAATAGAGGGTCTCTACTCAGTTGTGGTCCGCCATGTTAATGAGCCTGAAGCAAACAGGCCCCATACACAAGTACTTTTGATTGGTAAGAAAGCGGTTGTCCCCTCAGGTTCCTCCTTGACCTTTGACAGGCGCCCTTGAAGCTAATAGCGTTCCTTCTGAGTCAGGATTAAACTCTTCTTTTTAGTATGAAAAAAGACGGGTTCTATTCTATTTGGTAGAGTCAACAGAATAGAGTTCCTGATTTGTAACTCTAGAATAGATGATTTCCTCTAAGTGTTGGAGTGCCTTGCTAGCCGTTCTTTGCTCACATAAGCTTTGATGAACCTGCAGGAGGCTCCAGCTATCTATTCAAACCGAAAGAAGTACCTCACCTCACTTACAAAGAAGTAGTTGGAGCTGGGCTCCGAACTATGAGAGTTTGCTTTTGTTTTATGTTTCTAAGAGCAGTCTGATCCCTTATTTGGTCAGACCGCTCCTGGTGTCACATGCTATGAAATACTAATTCAATCATTTCATTCTCATATGTGGAAACATCCTGTGACTCTGTCCTAAAGCTGAACATTCTTTGTAGTCCTAAATGTTGTTCAATTGAAATTGTCGTATGGAATAATTACAAGCTATGCTTGATGTTTGCTGGTAGACTGGTTGAGCTGTATTTGTTGTGTTCACAAGTTTCAGGAATTTTTTTTCCAGACAGAGCATCCTGTTATTATTATTGACACAAATGATGGTTCAGAGTCCAAAGAAGGTGAACTTGGTTGCTGCATTAGTTCGTGGCATGCGTGTTGAAGATGCATTGTTGCAGTTGCAAGTGACAGTAAAACGAGCTGCAAAGACTGTCTATCAGGTGATGTAGCTGTTGAACACCCCGCCAATGTCAGCATACTGGTGATCAAACCTAAGAATCATAAATTCTGGGGCAAAGAAGTATACTATTCTTTCGTAGAATTTTTCGCTACTCGCTATGTCGTACTTGGGTTATGTGCACTGGGGATCTAGTATATTGGGTTTAAACTAGTTGACAGTAATTGACTTGTGTCCAATGCTGATATCTGCAGAGTGTCTTTACAGAACCATGTCTGAGCATTGGTTCTTAACCTTGGAAAAAGGAGGAATTTCCTGCAATATAATGCTAAATAATTTAAACTTGCTGTGCAGGTCATACATTCAGCCCGAGCAAATGCAACCCATAATCATGGATTAGATCCAGATCGTCTTCTTATTGGTAACTGCAGCAATTGGTCTTTCTCTTATTATTTTTAACATGACCACTATTTGACTTAAGTTCTCATTTTTACAGCTGAGGCCTTTGTTGGAAAGGGCCTCTTCAAGAAGAGGATATCCTACCATGCCAAAGGTAAATGTGGGATGAAAGTGAGACCAGAATGTCGACTCACTGTGGTCGTTAGGGAGTTAACCCCTGAGGAGGAGGCTGAGATAGCTAGGCTGAGGGTCAACAAATTCCTCAAGCTCACGAAGCGGGAAAGGCGGCTAGTACCTCATGAGTTGATTGAGACCACTCCAGTTTGGAACCGTAAAAGCAAAGTGAAAAGTCATGTACCAGGTGTTATGGCTGCCTGAGCAAGTTTTTGAT